TGGATCAAGAAGTACAAGATAAGCACGAACGAATGTACTGTATTTGGAATTCAAAATCAAGCATTCAGCAAGTACAAAGGAATCATTAGTTCATTCAAATACCACACAAAAGCTCCTCTGCAAGTCTATAGACACCCGTTATATGTAGTCATGCGATCTATTTCACTGTGGCCAGTGACTCATGAAACGCTTTGATTGGTCTATTGCTCATGTATATTAGAGTGAAGCCTGATATCAACCTAACGAAAAATAACATTGTTCGATCATCTATATTGTTCTAATTCCCTCAATTATTATTATTATTCACAAACATCTTATCGGTGTACAAGTGTTATGAAGAAACCATTTCGCATTTCTTCAAAAATGAAATTATACACAAGTTTCAACAATGTTAGCGTTATATTTGCCATATTTGAAAAAGAGAATAATAATAATAAGTCAGGTTCTATGTAACTGCGAAGAATGTTGAATTGAGTTTAAAGAATAAAAGGGACAAAATAAGGGGATAAAAATAACGGAGAGGTGAAATACTCAAACAGTTCAATAAGCGTGTTTATGAACACAGAACAGGAATAAACGACCACGTATGTACCTTCAAATTAGTAACGAAAGTAAAATAGAAAATAATTATGAAAAATAACTTATTGTTGCAGTAAGATATGACGCTAGAATAAATGTTTGTGCAGTCGTAGTTTGAAGTGATGCTATGAAAGTTTCAATTAAGTGCAATGGATTACCAAATATCAACATGTATGAGTCGTATATGCATAGTGAAGATAAAAATGAGTATGAGAAGTTAATTTAAGTCCAACACTAGTTGTTATTTCAATTACAAACTTCGTAAACATAAGAATGGTATTTGCTCAGATGGAAAAAAGAGAGAAAAGAAACGAACACCTGGTGAAAGGATTGAATCATGGTAATAATAATAATTATGCAATGAATATCGACCTCTCAAGTAAACCAACAATTTAAAAAAATAATAAAAAAATAAAATTGGATAAAAAATCCTTTACTGCACTTGGATGAATACATGTAGATTTGCGCAATGGTATACAGAGTGAAACTGGATATTAGTATAAAAATTTGCGCAATAATAATTTGCAATGGTGCTATTAAAGTCACTATCAATTGAAAACGATAATCAAATATAAATTTCTATGTGATATATATATATGGTGAAGATAAAATGAATCTGAGAATCTGTTTAAGTGTAACATTGGATAGTTTTTTTTCGTCTTTAGGTATAGACTTTGAATGTTCAGGAACAAAATATTTTTAGAAGAAATGGAAGGAATGAAAAGAATATCTTATGTGTTAAGGGACCAATAATGATATTAATAACACTAATAATTATAAATACGAACATGAGCAGACTTCATATATCAACATGAATAAAAATAAAATAGACGTTGAAAGTTTCAAAGTTTACACTTTGCTTTTCAGTCAATTAGATAGATGACGGATATTGTTTGTATAAATCACTATTAAACACATTGATACTCAATAGGTGACACAATCCACTTTCGGAAAGAAAATTATCAAAGAGACTTCTGAATCGGGTTGTAGTTTCACTGCAACGGAGGTTCACTGGCAGTCTGTTCCAAATGGTTGAGTACCGAATAACGAAAAAATCCTGGCGTAAGTTTGTGTAGGTTCTTGAAATCGCTAGAATATTCTCCTTATTACGTAGATTGTGGGAAGATATCACAGAGCATGAAGGGGTGGGTACCAAAGAGTAAGAAATACCGTTAATAAGCCGGTAGATAAAGGCAAGGTTTAATTTGATACGCCTGATCCAGAGAGGCCATAACATTGATCGTATTGGCTGAGTAGAATTATGAAGAAAGTGGGTTTATGGCGAAGTTATTTCAAAATAACCATATGCCAACCATTTATACAAGTTGTTAGATGCAAAAAGAGAAGAGAGACGATACCGCGAACAAAAGTATCAGAGTTTAGTCTTCAACCCAAACTCAGGCACAACAGTGAGTTAATATCTAGTTGTGATATCCTAGCGCAGAATAAGTGAGTGGCAACTGTTAGGAATTATTTATGGATTATTATTACATATTTTCCTATTAAATAACTGTTAAGTAACTGTATTATATTTATATCCGTATTTCCTTTATTATGAGCCTCCATATGAACTGTTGACTACTATCATATGATTTACCATTATTAAGCTGTTCCTAACCTATTTTTTCATAGTCTCTCACACTCACAGCAAGTTTTGGCTTGATTTATATAATGCTTTTTTTATTTTATGGTATAATCTGGTCTAGTTTTGTATAAAGCAAGTATTTTTGAAATAAAAGATTCATGTAGTGCGAATGAGATTGTGTTCTGAACTCAACGGACAAGGTAGGGTGATAGGAACCAATTAAGCACCCAAAATGGGTTCTAGGCCGCTTGAACCGGCCAAAGCTCCATTGATTTCACACAATGTCAAGGTCGTATAAGCCGGTGTTCTAATTAACGATTTAGTCACGCGATAAATAACAGGACATAAGAACATAACAGTAGAAATAATAAGCTCTCAAATAGCATCTGAAACAACGAGTAAACTCCTAGTCATAATGCGAGCTCGAAAATTCACAGAATGGTCAATTCACCATTATTCTGGCTCAAAAATAACCAGGAAGAATATGACATACATTACGTAAGCTGACATTAAAAATTTAAATACGATGCAAGTAAACACATTTAGGTTAACGAAACATTAACGGCTGCAACAAAATCTGAAGCAACACGAAACATAACGCTAATGAGACTGTGATTTACAGGCTTCGTAAAAAGGGCTGATATCGTCCGACTAGCGAACGACCTTTCTTGGTACGTGGGCTGACTCTAATCATAGCTGTAGTGGTGTGTGGTTCAATAAGTACTGCTCGAAGCTTTAGAAAACCTGATAATAACCTGATAATAATAGTAGCTCTGTTTAAAACAGTAGGCGCTTCTGGCGCTCTCGAAGTGATGCAATCAGAAGCCATGCTTCAGAAGACAGGGCTAAATTTATGAAGGATAGTTTTCACCCGGTTACCCACCGTTACAACATGAACACATAGTATTTAGCTTACAATAAATTTATTGCAAACGCCACTATTTTTACAGGTTTGGGGTTGCATTTTTCTCAGACTTTGGAATTCGTTTGCTTATTGTTTCAACCTTTCGATTTTATTTTACTTCGGTCCGGTATATGTTAAGTCTGCCTTAAAAACCTTAAACTTGAAGGTTTGTTGTAAAAATAAATACCGTTGTTATTAAAACAATGTATTTGAACTGATTACTAGCGATTTACCAGTAAACGTCTGTCACTTAGATAGAAATTTAGTTGTAAGTTGTGAGCGTAATTATTGACCGAGCTTAAAGAATGGATCATATCAGAAATTGTAAGTCATACCATTGTAATTATGACTTATAAACTCACAATTGAGTTGATTTTCACTGCTATCCCACGTCATGTAGAAATGAAATCTATTTTCGCTACAAACCAACAAGGTTGTTGAGTAGGCTTCCCGTTTTCATTCAACATTTTTGTTGCTAGAGCTCATTAGGCTTCTGCCTAAAGTTGAATTATTATTGAAGATTAGGTTTCCATTAATACAGGTGGACCATTGATAAGGTCTCTCATCAGAGACATACAGCGAATTCGTAGGTTCGGTATTGAAAGCAAAGTCAGATAATTGATCAATGACCACCTCAGTGACCGGAGGTAGTATGTGAAAAAAAAACAGTACTTAATCATTATAATAATATATGAAGAGTGGAGTTCATCATGAAAGAATCCTAAATCATCTCTTTTCCTCTGCCTAAGTAGTATTCCCAATGAGGTGAAGTCATCCGCTTATTGTTTGAATATAAAATAAAAGTACGGAAACTCATACAAAATCATGGCGACAGGATGGAAACAGAGTATGATCTAAATGTCTTTTTGAAGTGATCAAACAGGTAGTTGGTAATGATAAGTTTCCGAAAAGGCGATTGTGTTGTTGAATCACTATCAAGATGTCTTACAACATTCTATCAATCGAAATTTCCTTGCCCATGTGTGGTTATTACAAGAAGTGGTGAACCATTCTAGATAATGAACACAAAACGTCGGGTAGCTGTGGATTGTCCGCTCCGAAGCCTCAAGATTTTGTAAGTAGTTCAGAATTTAATTCACAGCGATTAAATCACTCACCAGGTTTTTTCTCTTTTGTACTAGTCTATACTATAGAGTTACCCACTATTCTACCATACATGGAACTCAAAACCTACATGAGCACCGCGAAGCCTCAGAAACATACAGTTTATCATTTGAAATACCAGATCAGTTCGAGCTCACCACTCAAGATGTTGTGGATATTTGGAACTTAACAACGGCATTTTTGTAACAACTTCATGCTCAGGGATCCTTAAAACAGTCAATACAAGAGTTAGGAATAAAAACATTCGTTGATATATGTGGAAGACATTCGATGTGTTGAGAAGCGTATAACCTGAGAGAGGAATGAGTTACATGGCATACTTAATGGTGGTCTGGGTTACTGTGTAAATGTAACAGGCGATATTTACGCGCATTTATGAGTACCAAATCCAACATTTTGTTCTCCATGAGATCTCCAGATTGAATTATCTACAAATTTACCAGTGTACAAGGTTATACTAAACCACATCAAGTGTTATGTGAAGGTAGCAAGCACATTTATTGGTCTAAATTGCACTATGCTTTGCATATGTTTAAGCATCACATGGTTGTATGATATGAAATAAACTTTGGTAACCATAATGATCATAGTAGGTCAATCGTCACTTGTCAGCCAAATCTGTAATAGCCCCAGCAGTCAAATGTAATGTAGCCGATTGTAATGAATGCCGTTGTTGATCTTAACTCTTTAGCAGCAATAAAAAGTAAATTGAACGAAATCAGTTGATTTAACTTAGGTCAACAAATGTAAATTTGGTGCTTGAAATTCTCGTATGACCTTCAGCTCCTCAGGATTGCTTTAAGCGCATATTTTAAAGTTTTTTACACGAGGACGTCGGTAGAATCAATGGTGTCACACAATGCAGTTCTCAAGGGTGATATTGTTTATTATCTGCATAGGCCGACAAAAAGTGCATACATTGGCTCGGTTATAGCGTCAGATGTTCATCCAGCGAGAAATAGTAATGAAGTTACTCATGACAAATGTGAAAATGAAAACACGGTAATTTGTGATCTTTACAACACTACAGAGGTCTTTTCGTCTCTGGGTTTTTTATCTAGGAAGTCTTTTGCTTCTTGGTTTGGCGATTGATCTAGGTCCGCGACCACTATTCGCATCGATACGTCGATCATCTTGACTATAGTCAATAGGGGGAATCCCAAGTGAAAATATTATTTATGGACGACCTTTGAGTGACGCTAAAGTGGCCTTGATAATGTCCACACACTGAATAGTGTTAAATGAAGTCTTTAAATCCATTTGAAAGATAAGGATTATTCACAGTTGATGGTTAGGGATTAGATTTAGGATTTTCATCACGAACTGACATCATTTACAATACCAAGACGTTATTTAACCAAATGGATAAATAATTTCGAAATTCAAGACCTGATATCGTAAATTACATTGGTTTGTCCACAATTTATAGTCTTGCCGAATACCAATCTTCCTATCTTAAGAAAAAAATGTCTGTTTTGGGTAAATGGCAGAAAAACCCCGAGAATTCGGAGATTCCCCCTAAATCGAGAGATCGGGATTCCGTTAAATTGAGGCGATTTCAGGAAGATATATACAAAACCGGACACACTCCTCTGATCTCTAATTTATATGGAAGTAGATATAGAGCGCATACTTGGGATGTTGAGAGACGCACTAAATAAACAACTTGTTCTGATCTCTTTATCTTCGTCCACATAAAGATTCACACTTGGTTATGCTACTTTCTAATTGATGAATATAGAAAATTAGTTGTGCACAGATATTCGGATACGCATGCCATTTTCAATACTGAGAAGAGAGATAGAACAAAAAACAAAGCTTTACTGAGCGTAAATAGGAGCATCTGAACATGACGCTCAAGACTTCATGAATTTTTATCGGTCAAACGTAGTTGTGAAATTATCAAAAACGTTTTGAGAGGCAGTAGTACCTGTATTAAGTCGACAGTTAGCCTTCTGTAACTTATCCTTGTCAAATTATTTTATCATCCCAATCCTATATGTTGTTATAATTATGTACTAATTTATAATAATGATCTAGGTTAAAGTAGATTGGAGGACGTTTGGATTTAAATCTAATAGTAGCTCCATACCACTCAATTTAAAATCAGATGAAGTTCACTTTTTGGACAGAAGTCATATGCCTGGAGAGGTCGTTCAAAACTTAGAAACCAATATGATTGGAACGATCTCAAATGTCTGTATGACAGCCCATGCAGAAATACTAGACCACCAGAAGGTCATGTTCGATATTCAGTGTGATCATTTAAGAAGTGTATATGTAAGCGACCCATTTTATTTTATTGACACCGTCATTGTATTTTTCATTCCTACAGCGTGTTTGTTGAATTGATTTGACATAGCTTATGTCCATGTCTGTTGTAAATATTCCGTAGTTTGGACAGCTTATTTACTTTGAAACTTTTTTTTTTTTAAAAACCTCGAAAACCAAGGGATATATTATACAAAATGGCATTACGTTGTTATAATATAAAAGCGAACGTATAAATAGAAGTAATCTTGTAAGATGCATTCAAGAGGCATAGTGCTCAAGGGTTTATGTAGAAATGTACACTTAATACTGCAGTATAACCAACATCTCTATTGGATGAAGTGACTCATGTTGGTAAACTGAGATCAACTTCGGCAAACTACTCATTAGTGTCGAAAATTTACCGGAAAAGTAATTGATATAGATAAAATTTAGTATGGGATTGTTTCACTAATAGTGAAGAGTTGTGGATGGTTTAACTAGGCGTTCCTACATATTGATTCGTATCATTGGATATAAAAAGAAGTCTTTTAAGTATTTCAAAGAAAAATTATTTTATTTAAACACATAGATATTGGTACAAGGAGGCAACAAATACATATGCGCCACACAAATCTCATTCTATATGTGTGAGGACTGTGATACTGCCCGGGTGCCCAAACCGAAACAGGTGGTTTTCTTAGGGGACCACTCCCCGAGCCTTCGACCTAAAGGTCTAACCCACAAGGCAGTGAAGCATCGTAAGGAGATGCAGTCCCATGGAAGCCGGTGACCAACAACTGGTTCATACGCCATTTGTTCCTTCAGGATACTGGAGCCCATGTGCACCATTGGTTTGGGATCCGGTTAAAGCGCCGAAAATTCGCTTTTCGTCCTCTCATTTTCGTAAACAACACGAAGGGACGAGAAGGCAATGAGTAGAATTTCCCTGACAGAGGCTATATACGCGTAGCAATGTGAGAGCATTTCGAGAGGGAGAGCGGACATTCCCCACTCTCAGTCGTACCAGGGCATTTGGGGGCATGGAGGTGGTTACTTCGTCAAAAAAATTTCAAAGAAGAAAGTTGAATTTAATTTGTCACCGCTCCCATAAAAGATCGATTCCAAGCTTATTGCGTCTGGATCTGTAGTTTAAGGTGTAATCACCTCCAAGACTTCGAAGTGTAAATCGCATCTGAACGAATTCTAGTCTTAATTTAACCTCCATGCAAACGATAATAAGGATAAAAGTTCAGCATTCTAGGAATAGTCGAAGACATCCCGGAAATCATTGAGATCGGGGTCTGTTTAGAGACCTGTTTTGAAAAGCATAAAATATGAGACTACCTAGGTCGTAAGTCGACTACTGTATAAAACTTAGATAATACTTCACTATTTATGGTAAGGCTTAGGTTAAGTAAAAGATTACCAAGCCAAATCCAACCACGTTTAGCAGTGTTAAACTCACCTTTTAGTTGTCAATCAGTAACAAAACCAATATTCATATGAGCTACATTATTATCTCATTTTAAATAAATTTACCTTTTAGCCATGGACCACACATGTTGACGAAAACTATGTGATTTGGAACAGTTGGCTCGGTCGGGTGTCAGATTGTCGTCTTATGGCAATCATCCGATTTTTGGATGGAGCACGGTAAATGATATCTGAAAATCCTAGTTTTCAGAGTAACTGGTAGTGTTTTCAATCCCAAGTTGATAAGTTAAATAACATAACTTTTAAGATTAGGTAGCTTCATTATCATTAATTAATATCTTTAAATAACTGGTGTTTCTACTCTCTAAAAGTTATTATATTTCGACACATTTCATGGTATATTTTTACTCGTTTTCCTAAGTTGCCCTATAAAATGGCTTATATATATATATATATATATATATATATATATATATATATATATATATATATATATATATATACTGTTTTATTTTACTAATGCTGTAAGTTTCATGTACAGCCTATAGCTTAAATTATTTATTTATTTGAACACACAAACATTGGTAAAAGGGGGCACCAAATACATTTGCACCACACAATAACAATGAGGCCAGTAGTACTTATCACTGATTTGTGTGAAGGCTGTGATACTACCAGGGCGCTCAAACCTAAGCAGATGGTTTTCTTAGGCAGCCACACCCCGAGCCTTTGACCTGATGGTCTAATCCACAAGGCAGTGGAACAACGTCAAAAAATACAGTCCCACGGTAGCCGGTGACCAACAATAGGTTCGTACTTCATCTGTTCCCTCAGGATCCTGGAGCCCATGTACACCATTGGTTTGGAATCAGGGTTTTCCAACTTCTCTAGGTAGACCTTCCATATCCACCAACCTGGTGAGAGTGCCGGACATTCGCTTTTCGTCATCTCAATTTCGTAAACAACACCCTCGCCACGAGGAGGCATTGAGTAGGACTTCTCTAGCAGTGGCTATATACTCGTGGTCATGTGAGAGCATTTTGAATAGAGTGGACTCTTCCCAGCCTCGGCCGTACCAGGACATTTGGGGGCATGGCTTAAACTAGTAAGTCCACAATGAACTTGTGATTTCAAATTATTTTAACCGTTGATCATGCGATATAGTACAACACGACTAGGATATAAATGAACGGTAGCTATATAAACTTCTATACTTTCGACCGACGGATCCGAGCTTTGACTGTAGCTTTAAACAACTTGAAAGCATCTAATTGTAACACGTGTTATTCGAAATTTCAAGCTTTGTTGAATATGGGAAAAGGTTTTAGGCCTCTAATTTTATGTTGATAATACAGCACATATTGTTTATTATTTAAATGAATAGCTTGGTTATTGAGTGTGTTTCTGCTTATTGCTAAGTTACCCGGATAAGTACGTAAACAGCGTTTGTACCCGCAACCCAGTTGTCAACACCTTATCTAATTCTGAATTTTCAGAAATTTACATTTGTGTAATGTTGAAATTCATATGGAAAAATCCTCACAGCAAGTTCTTGTTCTTTTGTGAAAAAGTAACTAATGGTTAAATTTACCCCTTCCCTCTTTTCGTGAATACTACATTTATTACTTGTCATCATGCATTGAAGCTTTAAAATGAATGTTTTGTCAAATATGACCCATGTACTGACAAAGTAGATCCGCTCACTGTCGATGATAAATTTCAGTTTTGAGTGAGATATTATTATTATCAATAATTCTAATCTTTCTTGGTGTACTTGATATGAATAAGAATTATTTCGAAAAAAGTTTTTTCAAATTTTTGTGTTTTTTTTAATGTAAAAAACTTTTTTAATAGTATATTTCACTTAACTCATAGATCATAAGACCTATATATATATATATATATATATATATATATATATATATATATATATATATACCTATCAACATTTTTTCTCTTGTAAAAAGGAGCTATACAATTGAGACTTTTTTCAATTTTAGTGGAAATATTTGTGAATCGGTCACAAGGAAATCATTAGTTCACTTTCATCACTTGAGATTATGTTTTTTCATGTGGCCAACAATCATTTCGCTTACATCGTATTCAATTTCTCATAAAAGTTGTTCGAAAAAAACATCACATGGAAAAATTATAATGTATGATTAAGAACGCTTATTTTCTTTATAGGGATGTAATTGTTACCGAATAGAAGACGAATGGTCAAACATATTGGCGAAATTTGTTGCTTAACAAAGAATAACGAAAAACTGACACAAAAGTATAAAGTTAATGGTGACACTAAGTTTAGCTTGTTAATTAAAATACACTTGATCTTCAAACGTTTTACTTCAGGTTGGAATTCTGCTCCACATATTTTTTTATTTGGGCGATCGAAATGACTGTCGAATATTGTATGTGGCCGTAAACTTCCGGCATAATTCTGTACTTCAGTCAGTCAATCTTAAGTAATGTAGAACCTACCATATATGTGTACAGGTTCAAGTTGACACCATAATAGTTCAGTGAGATTAAATTATCAATTCAAATACTTGAATAGTAGATGTAGTAACAGTATTATTGTTCGTAGAAAATATTAGGAATAGACAATACAACTTGAGAAGAATGAGTTTAAGCAATAAAATATCCAAGATAATTTTAAGATTCAAGATCTAAGGAAACACAAAGAAAACATTTGCTGCATTGCGAATAATTCTGGATCACGCCATCCAATATCTTCAATTATTCGTTACAATAATCGTGTTGACCCCAACTAGGTAGTTTATATCCACCTGCACAATCCAGTTTAACAATTAATAACTTCATGGACTGATGCCATATTTGGGTTTGGTCCTCCCTGACTTTTTAAAATCGTACTCTTGTCCTTTGTAAATCAGTTACATTATTCAGTTCAATTCAACAACTCATCGAAATGGTACATATATGTTAATTGTTTATCATTTCCAGAAATCTTATTCTCTTTACCTTTTGATTTCTTTGTGTTTTTAAGCGATAACATTACAGCTTGAATCGATCTTCTGTTTCGCGATATTATGAATATTTTTGTCTCTATTTAAGAACTTAATTTGTAACTCAGGATATTAAATCACTACTCTTAATTTCATAACTGTATTCCATGCATATTTTTATATTTAGACTTCTTGTTGGAGATAATTGCCTAGAATGTTTTGAGTCATTTTTATCAGTGCCAGATGAATATATGAATAACAATTACGAAGGTATTTGGTTGATCGGTGATGCGTTGGATTTAAGATCTAATGCGAATTCATCCAAATCAAGTAAATTTGATTTTCTCAGTTTACCTGTGGATTCGACCTCTAATAAATGTCGTAACACAGATAAGTCAACAAATTCAGAATCAATGCCACCGTCTGATGTATATAACAGTTCACATTCAGCCAACAAAACATTCCCACTTGGACATCCTATTAAATTTCTACAGGCACTTGCACAATATCCTATCACTAAAACATTCTCTCATCATCCTGAACAAATAACATGTCTTTTGAAACGTACACCTATTTTCTTAGTTGAAACACCCGCTCATAATGCTGTTTGGCTTTCTCGATTAAAATCTAGTGTAGATGTTGTATTTTGTGTGGAACATTTTGCTCCTGTTGAAGCCACTATTCATTGGCTCGCTAATCGGTAAGTTCATATATATATATATATATATATTTAGGGGAGTTTAGATTTAGTTTGTAGAACTTAATTTTAAATTTACTGTCAAAAGTATTTTAAGCTTAGTCATATATTGTTGTAATGCCTCTGGCAAATGTCCTTAGACGACAATGTTCTATGGAAACAGTGAATAACACCTAAAAGACTTAGCTGGTTTAATCATTCTGAAATTATTGACAGATTGTTCGAAATGTATAGCGCAAATACATCACATTCTTCAGATCGACTCCGTCTTCTCATTGTTCTATCGAAATTCAATAATCAATGTAAATAATATTTTTAACCGAGAAATAATTGACGAAAACACCATTGACATTCAATTTCAGCCAACCTAACAGTTGTACTTCTATGTATAAATACATTCTTTCAAATGTTACTAGAAGTGCTTATTGTACTGTCCACAATTAACAGAGTTATTATTTCTCTGAAACATTTACCTACTGTTCGATTCCTCAAATACAATCCATAATAAACTGTATAAAGAAAAATATCAGGGATTTCATTTTGATCACATAAATCGTTTTTTTATTTGTATTCTCTAATCCTTTATAGATGTGTTTATGGTATCCGGAAAATAAATTATGCAACTTAATGTTAGTCGGGTTTCTGAAAGTATTAAGATTCTGTCAATAAACCAATTGTTAATGTATTTCGTGTGCAGAAATGTTGTTAAGCCACAAAACTACTGTATTAACAAATTCACGGCTATATTTTCATTTTTTCTCTCTGATAGTCAGATGTTCGATCATAGGTGTCCTCGAAACATTGCTCGTATATCCTAGGACCATCGAGTAAGTAACACAGTTGTTAGGAAACAGGTACTAGGTAAGGATGGCAAATGGATTGATGAAGTGGTGAAACTTCATCAGTTGAGATGACTGGGACACGTGTTACGTACGCCCAACCACCGACTGCCTCGACGTGCTATGTTTAGTGGTATAGGAGTAGGTTGGAAGAAAGCTAGGGGTGGCCAGACCAAAACATGGCACAAGTCCATGAAGTCACTGGCAAGTGGACTGAGTCATGTTGGTAGGAGCAGACTACCTGGTTGGGGACCGCGAGATGACAGCAACCGATGGTTAGAGACCTTGAATGACATGGCTCCAAATCGTTTGCGATGGTGCAGGTGTATTCACTCTTTGTGTTCTCCCAAATTCCAACCTTCTGAATTCTTTATGTCCCTTTTTTCCTCTTCCCAAATTTATTTCACTGTATTATACTCTTTAAATAACATCTCCAAACCCTAATCTTCCCGATTACTGCTTATACTCTTGCTACCTCTACCACTACGGGATTTGAATCGACAACTGCATCTCTGTGCTAATGTGGTTTGTCAACTCGAACTGATGTACGTACGTACGAAGTTCTACGTTGTTACTGACTGACTGATAGTCAGATATGAAAAGAACAAAAAGTAATCCAATCATTTTACCTGGAAAAAATCCATATGTATTTGAAAATTATTCGTAAAGCTGATGTTCTTTCGCTTTTTCGTGTTTAATCATGGTGAATATAGAAATGATTTTATCGGTCGAATTCATATGTCAACTAATAGCAATATGTTGAGATTAAATAGCTGTCACTTCTCAGTATGAAGCAATATTCATGCATCATTAGTTATTGAACGGAACAAGAACAACGTTTGCAGAATAAAAGTTATATCCTATTTCATGGCTTCTCACCAGCTGCATACAAACTAAAATTACAATTATCAATATAACGGTTAACAAATGCTTAATTTATTTGTTTGTTTTCCGACTGGTGTTTAAGACTGTGGTTGATCAGTCACTTTTTTGGCACATGTATGCATCCTGTGGGAATTGCCTCGATATTGCCACGGTCACAGGCACTTTTAAGCAAAAAGTACCAAGTTGCAGTGCTAAAAGTCGATGGCAGGATTCGAACAACCAGTACGTACATTAAAATTATTTCCATTGAACAAGTCATTAGCTATTTGGACTCAGTAACTAAGTGAAAAATGCAATGGTGTTTGAACAGAACTGTACTGGATTCCGGTCCTGCAATGAGCATCAGCTGTGGAATGCAGGTATCTTCAATTGATGAGTCCCAAATAAGATTAAGCATGCGTCCTAGATTTCATTGCTACCCACCATCTATCTCTGCTCGAAAATGTTTGACATACTTTGGGGCTGCGAAGTTTAGATGATTGTTCGAAACGGAAACATAATAATAAGAATAGGACACAAAGCGTTTAAATGAACATAGTTAATATAAACGTGGATTTATATATTGGAAAATAGTAATGAAGAGTAGAATAGGTGTTATGATTACCGGTAATTATATTCGAGATGAAAGATTAAGACGTTGTAAAATCGTTCTCTCTGTCCTTCTTATGTACTTGCTACTGCAGGTACATACTAAAAACGTTCTTAGTAACCTGTGGCTGAAAGTTAGTAAAGCCTTCACAAGTGCAATCACCAGGCATCATTTTGGTAGTGGACACGGATTCATTATAACTAATGCATTTAAAATGATTAACAGACAAAAAACAACAATCTTACTCCATTTTGCAGAGGCAATTGCTATCAAGCATTTCCAACCTAATGTATATATACAGAAGGAAAGTGTGATTAGCTTTTCTCTGCCATATTGACTGAGTACTTATTAAATAACCTTTATTAATTTTTCCAACCGTCTCCCCTTTTTTTCATCTTCTGATATTTTTTTCTTACATAATCTTATTGATATTCACATATTTGTTTTGTTTTTCGTTATGTTAAGTAATTACACAATCAGTCATTAATTTCATTACCCTTACATAACTTCTTTTATCTTGACTATGATTACCAGTAACTATAACACTTGTTATACTCTGCATTACTATTTTCCAACATATAAATCCATGTCTATATTAACTATGTTTATTTAAGCACTTTGTGTCCTATCCTTATTATTATTATGTTTTCGTCTCGAACAGTTACAAGTACAAATTATGAGCTATTCTTGAACCTGATTGAATAGACCTAAGACTTAATCCTTTGCCCTTGAAATTCAAGAGATCACAATTCACTTCAGTTTATCTTCAATGGACTAATTGAAGCTGTTCTGTAGTTATTGGTTTTCACTTGGTTAGTTGATTTTAACTTTCAACAAAGGCTGCTCTCATGTTTTGACCCAAAGTTCCTGCTAGATTTAAAATCTGTATCAGATCTTGTTTGTATAACCGTGTACACCGATTCCGAATGCCAGTTGAGATAGGAGTGGGTGGGAAAAAGCCGTGAATGGACAGACATCCACAAAGTTACTAACTTTTACTTCGGATCATGTCTGTAGGTGTGTACATTTACAGGTAGGAATTTGTTCATTAATAGTGATCTACGGTCATAGGTGTTAGATGACATTGTGCAGAATTACTCTCATTGGTTCAGTTATGTTTCTTCTCTGTCTTCCTCTAAATATTGAGTTCAGTGTTCTCCCATACTTTCATACTTCAATCTCACTTGTTACATTTGTACTATACTCATTGTCTATATTTTTATAACAGCTGATAATATTTCTTCCCTTCTGCGTATCTTTTGCATTTCCACTCTTGTTTTCTGGATTTAGAATATCTCAACTATATGTACATTCATAATAGTTCAATGCTTAAAAGGTTCGGATTTCAGTTACTATGTTGGCGCTTCATTACACCAACTTCAGCTTAGGAAACTTAAAAGTATCACTAGCCTTCACATTCAGAGTGTAATTCGTAACCAAGTACACGAATTTACATCTTGTAAATGAGTCAATATCTAAATAAATAAAGGGTTGATGACTAACTGACTTACGCTTGTCTACTTTTTCAATAGCATGATTTATATCTGAGAAAAACATTCCGCGATAAATGACGTAGGAAATACCTTTGTAAACTTTCACTTATGAGTCTTTTTTCTTTGTAAAAGAAATTCACAATCAGACAAACCGCCTCCGCGTGTGATTCATGGATTGGATTTGGGAAATTTAAAATCAGTCATTTCAAACTCTTTTATTAACTGTCAAGTAGGTGATATTTGGTACTACAAACTACAGGAATCTGATAAAATTTATAACATGTAAGCGACAGATTTTTGATTTTGTACGATTTTATTTTAAATAATTACATAATGTTATATTATGAAAAAAAAGTAGTAGTACAGAATGTAATAAATAATACGGAAATTCCCAGATCTGTCTGGAACTTACTCTAATAGCTACAAATAAACCACCGCTTGTAGACTAGAAAAGATCATGAACTGACGTGGACGTTACTTTATTGGAATAAAAGGGGTTGCCGTGTGGAAAGCTTGACGAATCGGGTTACGATTTGTTAAGAAGTGGTTGGTTTACAAATCCTATATCCTCCATTAGCTTACGTCACTTAATCGTGTTCATTTTGACTATAAATATATTATTTTAACAGAGAGGAAATATCTGCTATTAGCTGTTTTGTTTTTCGATGTCATTTCATTCACGTTGGAAGAGAAGTTTGGATAGTTCGGTATTGTGATTAGTTATCACTCGGTTACATTACAATATCATCTATCAATCTGGACCCTATTTATTCATATTAATAATCTCATTCACCGAATCATCATACTGTAATCCACAACAAATATGTTATTCTAAATCATTACTAGGGATTTCAACTGTTTATTCTCGATTAATACTTCTAATTTATATTATAACTTGGTAACCATGTCTATATCCGTGTACACAGCTTCCAGCTACGCTCTTCGGATGAGATCCTCTTATTTTTAAGGGTTCCATCGTACAAAATAGAAACCATAACAAGAGTGATAAAATATTATTTCGTTGTTGATTCAGTTCATTTTCTCTCGTTTTATATTTTAATTTGATATCGAAAGAATTTTTCTTATAAATGCTATAAATAAACCGTTGTGATATTCATCATCTTGTTTGTGTATACATAATCTGCCTGTTTTAACTGATTTTATGCACAATTTGAAAAACAATAATTTCAAGGAGTAATTTTACTCGACCTGAGCAATTGTTATATAAATGGTTCACGAACGATATTTCCGGTCTTGGAGCAGTGTTTTCACTTCCACTGAATGATGACAAACCGATGACAGATCAAGGCAAATTCAATGGGAATTGTGTCATTAGTAAAAAAGAACTAGGAAAGTCAATTGTTGAATCCTCATCAGTTACTGGTCTGAAAAGTTCAGGATTATTAGCAGGAGAAAAAATGCCAAGCAGGACAACACCGTTTTGGGTAAGTTTTTCTAGGTTAGAATATGCTCACACCATTCAAAAACATTCCATCCCCCACTTATATCAGTAATATATATTTGTCATTCACGTTCAGTGTGAGTACGATGTTGCAGAGGTGTTGGATGCTCTAAGCATTCGGCATCTAATTACTAGACTGGAAGTCTCATGCCACGTCACTCCATCTTTGTTGAATGAATATAGATTGAGAGAAAAAAGGAGTATATCAGCTTTCCATATGTCAAGTAATTATATATTTATTTATAACGAAAGTTTTAGTATAGTAAGGGATGGTTATCGTACAATTAATAGGAAAATAAAGATTAATGGTGTTTGATAAAAGACGCAGGTCAATTAAAAATACACCCGAAAAAGTTTTTTAGTTAAGGGAGCTGTCCTTATTTTCGTGAAAAGCGTGATAGATATTTAAAACAGATGGGTTGTTGCCGACGGTGGAATCCAGGACGCGCGCTTCTTCCTCTTTGGAACTCGTAGAATTAGTGTACTTGCGTCCCAATGTTGATATAGATATTGAGACTGGAACTCAGTACCTTTTGCTTCAAACGCCATTATATATATACATATATATATATATCACTATTGATAAGGGTTTAAGCTATTGCGTTGTTGATATTAAGGACTGAAACTAGATATAGTAAATGTAATGTCGTATGTAAGGAGGAAACATCTAGGTAGATGAATATAAGGATAAAAAACCACATAGTGCTTGAAACATTTTCCTAAATCCTGGAAAGACTTCAAAAAGCTTTGGAACAGATCAGCAATAGAGCTAAATTCGTCTGAAACAAGATATAACACTAACATCGACATAATGAAAATTAAAAAAGATTTCTTTTTACCGTCAAAGAAAGACTTAGCTGAAGCCCTGCATATACGGGGACATTCTAAGAATCCATATAGACGAAATAGGTTACAGTTAACTAGGTCATAAAAACCATTGATCTGATCAGTAAATAAAAGTAATAACTTAAAATACACTATCGTTTATATGACCATCAATTATTTTCGAAAACCTACTGGTTAACTTATGACCTGTATGCTACTTTCTGTTAACTTTTCCTTCGTCAAGTCTTACTTTTTTACATTCATCTTTCCTATAGGCACAAGTAAATCTATTTGCTTCGCAACGTCGTCGTAGGCGAGTAACTGTGGATCCACGACATCGTGTTCCTCGCACAGACATTTTTCATTGGGCTCACAGATTTCATAGATCAACAAGATCTTTCACTTCATACATTGATATTAGTGCTGATGTCTCTAATCACGATGGTGATGCCAATGTTGATGAGAACGATACACTAGAACAAACAAAAGACCAGTCACAAATACAAGATCAAAACGATCAACAACATAAAAAAATCGATCATGTGAAAGAGAGTAATCACCAACTGATAACGTTAACTTGTAAACGTATTTCTTGTGATAATTCAAGTCTGGTTAATAAACCAGTTTTGAATCCCGTGGAAAATACCACGAAAATTGATTTATCTTTGAAATCTACAGTAGAAGCACGTGTAGTCTCAGGAGAAGCAGTACCATCATCACCACCGATCGCAGTAACTCTCACTTCTTGTACCACTAGTACCACTACTACTGCGGTGAAAGATCTCAATGACACTAATAGAAATGGAAATTCTATTCTGTCGCCAGTGTATATTATTTCGTCAGATGCTTCAGTAAACAAATCTACAACGAATACCACTTTACCATCAGATCAAATAAATACTGTTGATGGTGATGATCTTAATCATGATAATAACACTCATGTCGAGGAAAAAAGAGAACGCTTCTGCAAAAAAACTAGGTTATCAAAACATTCAAGGCGTCTACGTGTTCTTCGTCGACAAGCGGAGTATATTCAAGAAAAACGCGCTATCCATTTAAGAGCTGGCGATTGGGTACCTGTACGAATTTATGCAACTAATTCACTGTATGATATAAAATGGATTGATGGATCTGTATCGAAAGGTGTTGCCTCTGATAAGATAATATCGTTTGGTGGACACATAGAGCATTATTTATTTCCTGGATTTTTAGTTTCTTTGAAAAGTGGTGAGAATAATTTGGGTTTTCTCAATTTGTATGTCAATAATTTGTATGTGTTATAGATTACACTAATGTTGTGTTACGTATATACAATATATTTTTTGTATCGTCAGTATTCAGTTATTAGTTGTTGGCTAGTAAACACTACAATTTTAAAGCGGAGGGGTTCAAAGTTATCTTATGAAATACCAGTTGAATGGTTTGAAGTTTTCGATTAGACTTTAAAGGATATGTTTGAAGAACCCACCTGTGGTATCACCTTCGTTTTGGTAACTGGTGTTTATTGCTTTCAATCGTACAATATTTTCTATCTTTTTCAATAGGCTATTACTTAAAGCATTGAGGATGATGCTTATACAATAAATACTCGTAATAATTTTGACTCGTAATTTAGCGTATCAGAAGCTCGGATACTGATATGTTTTCTATATGATGGGACAGGAATTAAACCTGATAATTTGGCATCCATTCCCTTGAAGAATGAATAACCTATACTTCCCATATACTACAATCGTTTATTTGTTCAATGACTTATGGTCACATTTATCCTTGGGTTAAATATTTTGTATATAGCCATGTTATTTTGTTAGATGAAAGATACCTATTCCTCTGACTAGTGATCCTGTCATTGACCTCAGTTCATTCAAGGGTTTGGGTCAGTAGTTATATCTTGTGAGCAGCCATCTATCGGCCACATCGTATCATTGCATTTCATCTGTCGATCAACATTCTGTTTATTTATTTTAATAATCCAAGGCTTGTTCATCAAATCTTGAGATTATACTTTAATTAGTTTTACCTTTATTTTGCAACCCTTCTACTACTTCAGTCATCATTATATGCAGGTGTTTGAGGTAACTATAACTACGTTACTCAAGCCTTTACTACCGTATTTTCTCTGACGAGCCTAATAATCGAATTCTGTGTATTTTTGAACAGTAAAACAGACTGAAATGTCCTAAAGTAACTTCTGCATAGGATTCAGAATCCATTGCATATTAAAAACGGAATTCAATAAGGGGATCTCTTGTCTGCGAATTTATTATGAAGCCGTATATGTCTGAAATTATAAGGGTAAATTTATTGAAAAGAGATCCCTTATTTGAATTCGGTTTCCCTATTTTCTTACCTGGAATTATAAAACATCAGATACTGTTTGGGGTATCATTCACTAAAAAATTGGTTTAGGATAGGAAGTGAGAAATACATCATAAATGAAACATGGTTATCTATTAGCTAATTACCTTTGAGTCAACTCCGTCTGAATCCCTTTTATAGTCGATCTCGAACAAAGGAAAAGGTTTGGGCATGGGATTAGGAACCACATCTCGTTGAAAAGAACCTTATTATTATTGAGATAACTCAATATAACCGTTTAAACTCTGTTCTGGGATTTGAATGGTCTTCACTTAGAAGAACTATGTTGCCCTATGATGAAAGCTGAGATTCTTAGGAAATCAAGGGGTCGATACGCCTTTTTGACAACCAAAGCAACAATTAAGATGGGTATATGGAATTTTCAATGCAAACGTCAGAAAAAGTTCTATTGTACGTAGCTGACATTTGGTAAATTACCACAACCATCATCAAAGAAGTATATGTATTTATAAACAGTTATCTGGGACAGACACTCCACATCCTTTGACCAAACTCTAGGCACTCGGGAACAACTGGGAAGAAGAACCCTGGAAAGAGTAGGTTGCAGATCCCTGGTCGACGGTCTATCCCCTACAAGGGTTAACGGGCGTAAGTTTGAGCCTAAGTGTTGTACACATTTCTTCTCAACATTGAAATCTATACATTGTTACTGTTTCAGTTACTCAGAGAACAAATTCTATTGCGGACCCATCAATTTTTGATTCACCTGTATTGTTAATTTGAAATACCAAGTATTTCATTAGTTGTAAGGAGTGTTTCTAATCGTACATTTGTCTTTTTTATTGTCGTTATTTTCGCAGGATCTGCCCACACCTGTCTAACGTTTTGTTTATTTTCTGTATATTTTTTCAAGATAAAAATTGCCGTTCACAGCCTATCCCACCGAATTCAGTTGTGAATGACCCCTCCTCAATAGCAGTTACCGAAACGATTGAGAGAGTAAATACTGTTCCATCCTCTACAATCGAATTGTCTTGTGATCACCCTAGAGATCTTGGAGTAGCCCTTGCTTATAATACGAATGATCGAACTTGTCTTGTTCAGTGGTTCAAAACTGGAAACTCTGAAACTGGTTCCTTGTAAGTGTGTAAAAGTAATATTAGTAAAAATAATTAACCTATGCAAAAAAGGTGAATTAGTGATTCTAAATCTTCAGAAAAGATTAAATGTTGCTAACGTTGGAATCCAGGACGCGCGTTTCTTTTTGATGTACTTGCATCTTAATGTTGATGTAGGTACTGAGACTGGATCCTAGTACTTTTTGCTTCAAACACCAACTCTTTATCCACTAAGCTACTGAGTCCTGATAACCACTCACTTGTACAACGAATATGAGATTTAATTCAATTTTTTAATGGTTCGGATTATCCCGCTGTTGATATTTCGACTGAAATGTGATCAGTCTTGACTGATACAAGTGAGTGGCTATCTGTCCTCATTATCTATGTGAATAACCCGGTGGTGTTTGAAGCAAATGGTGCTAAGTTTGAGTCCAAGAGTGAACATTAACTCTGCAACGCGGGTACATTCAGCTGTTTAGTCGCAAATAGGGTGAATCGCACGTCCTGGATTTAACCGCCAACCACCATCCATTTATATTTAAAAATGCTATTGGCATTATCATGGGGATCCTCACAGGATCCACATATGTCAACCAAGGCTGGTAGAATTACAGTCAAAAATATTAACAATCGAATAATCCAAAATCATTTTAAATCGAATATATGGATCTTTATTTGATGTTTGTTTCTCTCATTCACATCCATTTAAAGGTGTTAATTCGCGTTGTATTTTAAAGTCATAATTTACTTCCTGATTATTAGTGTGTCATGATTTGAAACTTCCTATATCTCCCTGCTTGATCGATCTCTTGATAATAAAGTCCGCTAATCAGCTGATCTCTGTATACTTATCAGACTAAAGATGTACTCGACCAGTAACCTAGTGTTCATGAACAGTGGCTGGACAATCCTAATTCCAATTGATACACGAGTCCTTATCCCCAATACGTAATCAAGAATCGAAGATGGCAAGCAGATCCACTTTCTGTTATTGTATTTTCCTTATTGTCATCATAACTTAAATATACACGAGCTTACATATATCAATTACATAACCAAAACGCACCACAAATAAGAAATCGCAATCTGTACATGACTAGGACATATATAATGCAAAACCAAGTAATTGGTACGTAATCAAGCAACGGTAGAGCATATAGCATCAGTTACTTCACGAAATGAAATCTTACCGTCAAAAGTGATATAAAATGACCATGACCTTAGGTATTTGGTAACAACACAATGTGTAATGATCCTCTGTAAAATAGTTTTAGAATTTCCATCTCTCAGTTATTCATCCCGATTGAAGATAGTAGCAAACTGTTTACTATGTTTGTTGTACCATATTGAGTAAATATTTGGATATGGTTAATTCTTGCATGAATTGCATGACTATCTATCAGCTAAGTGGGGTTTTTGTTGAACTGTGAAATTGAAAATAGTAAAACATTTTTTGATAGTTAATTGACTAATGTGTATGATTAATTTGATTGTTCTCTATCGTATTTTATCCTTCCAATGGAAGATGGTGCCCTTTTAAAAGCCCAATTAATTTCAACTCCACTACTATTCCCATTTCTATAATTAACTTTCCATTGCTGATTATCTAAATACGAATTTATGTGACTACATTGAATTAAAGGCCAATGATTCCTCTTGGTTCTCCGGAAGAAATTGGTGTCTATGAAATTTCTGGATCTGGAGAATATCAAATGAATTATGGTGACATCGTTCTTATCAAATCTGCCAGTGAAACTGATTATTCAATTTATCCTGCTGGTGTTTTAGAAGATATTATTCCGGAATCAGGTAAACTAGTAATTCGTTGGATTGATGGAACTTCAAGTGAAGTTTATCGTACCGATTGTTTACAAGCAATTGAAGCTGTAAGTTAGTTCGATTTCGTTTTTGGAAAGCTAATTTCATACTGCACACAGTATAGTTAGTCATTCTTATTCTATGCATTGTAAGGCTTAAGTAAACGTTGTGAATTCGAGGTTGTTAGAATCTTCACCAGATTATAAAGTGTATTTCTCTCTAAATAATGTCATGGAAAGTTATGCCGACTTTTATGTGTTGCCCAGTAATAATGGAAAAGTAACCATAAGGTAGAAATTCGTTGATAAACAACTCGAGAACCTGAAGTATTTTAGTATGATGCACATATTATTACACATAGCCAACTCTGAGTGTTTTTATCAGATAAACCTTAAATGTCGTATGGTCGTTTGGAAAACAAGTACACATGGAACTTGCTACCGTACGACTCTATTTAAATCATATATTTGTCAAAATCTTGAAAAAAAAACAATCGCCTATTAGTTGTAACATTCAGCTGTTATTTAGGTGAGACCGTACCTTCACCTACTTCGGTTTTTGAGATGCTTCATTATACTAAACATTGTCATCTACTTATTTATTTATTTGAACACATAAATATTGGTACAAGAGAGCGCCAATATATATGCGCCACACAAAGCAATGAGAATTCGAAGAAAAAGGAAAAAAAGGTAAGGAGCGTAAAAAAAGGAGAACAATAACGAAGAGATTGGTGTAAGGTAATGTAGTAATAATAATAGTAATAATGAGGGAACGGACAGGTACAATCAGAAGAAATCATTCAGGTAAGGGAGACACAACCACTTTTTATGAAGTAAGTAAAAGAAGGTTACAGCATGATCGCCACTGGCTTCTATTCGGAGCCATATCTGATAACGTCTCTAGCCACTGTGTTGTACCATCTCTCGGACTCCAACCAGGGGGTCATGAAGGACCAACAGAAGCCAGTCCTTTGCAACTTTCTTTCATGCCACGACACCATGTCATTCACTGACGACCTCTCCGCTTTTTCCAACCAGTCCCAGAGTCGGCAAATAATGCACGACGTGGAATTCTCTGGGACGACATTCGTAGAACATGTCCAAGCCACTGAAGTCGGTGTTTCAAGATGGTGACATCGATTGCATTATCATCTCTGTGCCCGAACACACGATGCTGAACCTCTGCATTACTGACATGGTGTTGCCACTGGATGTCAGCAATCCTTCGGAGACAACGATGATCGAACACATAGAGTCGTCTAACTCGGAGAGGCCAGGTTTCACAAGCATAGAGCAAAACTGCTCTCATTGATGCGTTGTAGTTCCGACCTTTAACAGCTAGACTGACATCACGAAGGCTCCAAAGATGGCCCAGATTGGCATAAGTCACCGTGGCTTTGACTATACGTGAACTGATCTCATTACCCACGCCACCACCAGCACTTATGCAGCTACCCAAATACACAAACTTCTCGACTACTTCTATCTGCTCACCATCCAGGGTGAGTACAGGATTAGAATCCTGCCAGTCTTGTAGAAGTACTTTGCACTTCGAAGGTTCAAAGCACATACCATACCTACGGACACTGATTGCGGATGGCATGGCTTGGACATTATCGCACAGTAATACAATATCATCCGCATACTCAAGGTCGAGAAGTCTTTCTCCAGGCAACAGATCCACACCACCATTACTTACATCCATCAGAGCTGTTTTCAGAATGTCATCGATGGCAAAGTTGAAGAGGAATGGTGAGATTGGGCAACCCTGCCTAACCCCACTGCTCGAATGGAACAATGGAGAAAGGTGGTTGTATGCCCTCATTCTGCCTGAGGTGTTTGTATATAAGGCCTTTAAGATGCTAATGAACTTCTCAGGCACACCCTTCTTCAATAGACAATCCCAGAGAACAGTCCTATCCAACGAATCGAAGGCAGCCCTGATGTCAAGAAACACTACGATTGTTGGCCTTCGATAAGTATGGCGGTGTTCTAACATTTGGCGGAGGGTGAAGATATGATCAATACATCCTCGACCAGAACGAAACCTAGCCTGCTCCTCGCGAGTCAATCTTTCTCGGGTTTTGAACAACCCACGAAGTATGACGAAAGCCAACAGCTTGGACGCAATCGGAAGTAGACTTATCCCCCGATAGCTGTTACAGGAACGACGTGAACCCTTTTTAAAGATGGGAACAACTATCGACTCATTCCATGACGTTGGTACGCTCTCTAGCTTCCAAACCTTTGCAAACAACGTCGTCAATTCCTTAGTCAGAAAGTCACCACCATCTTTAAAAAGAGCCGGAGGTAAGTCATCTGGGCCAGGTGATTTGTAACGCTTCAAGAGTTGGAGTTCCCCTGATAAGCGCACGTAAAACAAGCTTTTCGAAGCGACAGATGAAGAGCGAATTTGTAGTACTTCACCAGAGTCTTGAATTCGGGTCTCGGATGGACAGCAGACATCGATATTAAGACTTTCCAAAGACATAGCCAGTCCTATCTGTTGTCCGACCTGCATAAGTGTGCGAACGTTGAAGGCAACCAGTTTGAATGGTGCAAGTGGTTTTAGAAAAACTGCTTCAGTACTCATATTCAGTAGTAACATACAATTTTCAACCGGACAGTGACTCGAGAACGTTTAGATAGAGTCGAATTTCCACCAAAGACGAGCCGCTGTATAAGTATAAAAGAGGGTGAATAATGTGGTAAATGATAATAATAATAATAATAATAATAATAATAATAATAATAATAATAATAAGAAGAAGAAGAAGAAGAAGAAGAAGAAGAAGAAGAAGAATTTGAATCATTTGATCGTTAGTTGAGGCAAGTAAAGTAGTTTCCATAATTACAGGCAGTTCATCATATTTGTGTGTGGGCTGTGATACTGCCCGGGTGCCCAGACCGAAGCAGGTGGTTATCTTAGAGGGCCACACCCCGAGCCTTTGACCTAAAGGTCTAACCCACAAGGCAGTGAAGCATCGTAAGGAGATGCAGTCCCATGGAAGCCGTTGACCAACAACTGGTTCATACGCCATTTGTTCCTTCAGGATACTGGAGCCCATGTGCACCATTGGTTTGGGATCCGGTTAAAACGCCGGACATTCGCTTTTCGTCCTCTCATTTTCGTAAACAACACAAAGGCACGAAAAGCCAATGAGTAGGACTTCCCTGGCAGAGGCTGTATACGCGTGGCCATGTGAGAGTATTTCGAGAGGGAGAGTGGACTCTCCCCACTCTCGGCCGTACCAGGGCATTTTTCATACAAAATGTTTGAATCAGAACTGAGTACATAAATCCTTGGTTGATTAACAAATTACATTAATATTCTTAAAAATTATCATATACATGAATATTTTATGGTAAGTGACATCTCACTACTCGGTCAGTTATAAAACACAGTCACTAAGTATAAAGTGATATTAGTCTAATATTGATCGGTTAATGGTTTCAATTAAGTCATATATGTTTTATTCAAAGGATCAATGGTACTACACCACCTGCTTGTTCGAATCAAAGCGACTAAAGTAATGTTCCGATTTCTAACTTGTATACTGAAAGTGTGAAATTGTTCCACATCACTAAATAACTTAGTCGCTTTTACTGTTTTCATCTTTGTAACGACGAATAAACACATATTCCAGCCACCTCAATTGTTGAGGATTCAACACCTCATCAACAGACTTTCTGTCTTTACCTAGTATTGTATGTTTAGGGTTGACAACGCTCACTGATACTCGTCAACCCCATTCAAAGTTGTAGAAGATCTGTCAGTTCACCATTTAAGATTTACTCTTAGCAGTCTAATATATAGGATTTCAACAATATCATCCTCTTGAGCTACAAATTTTTGCTATTTCAAAATCATTGTTTTCAATGTGTTATTTTCTCAAATGTTTTATTATTAGGATGATGATTCTACAGATTATGAAGATTCCTTCGACTCAGAATTCAGCGATTCAGATGATGAAAAAACCGAAAAGTGGGAATTGTATTCAACTTCTTCGGAATCTTCGTCTTGTTCAAGCTTTTATTCTACATCTGGTTCCTGCTCTTCGTCTTCTTCATCTAACGCATCTGATGGTACAAATGATAATGACAGTGCGTGTTTACAAGTTACGCAACCAACATATGAAGATGATTTACGGTAAAAAAAATAATTCATGCACTAATTCATTCTTTTCCTTACTTATGAAACTATCACCTAAAATATAAAAGTGATGATACATTTTCACCGTTTTACAGTAACATAATTATTTTTTTAAGCAGTGATTAAAATTAATCAACTCATTTCCTGTCTGTCTAATATATTTTTCAACAATTGACTCCGTGTATTAAGGAAATGGTATGTTCACTGAAAATTAGACTATATGCTATTGTAAAGCGTATTTTTGGAAGTTGTCATTCAGTATTTGTTAACCGCATGAGCCTTAAAGCTATCCTTCTTAGTGTCTGATTTTCAAAGACGCCTCAAACTTAAAAAACACCTACAAATTTCTGTTGTGTTGGAGAAGCCCGATTATTTAAATAAGGTTTGTAATTGTTAAATGAGTGGATGGATTGTTGATCGGCAGATGAAATGCAATGATACGATGTGGCCGATAGATGGCTGCTCACAAGATATAACTACTGACCCAAACCCTTGAATGAACTGAGGTCAATGACAGGATCACTAGTCAGAGGAATAGGTATCTTTCATCTAACAAAATAACATGGCTATATACAAAATATTTAACCCAAGGATAAATGTGACCATAAGTCATTGAACAAATAAACGATTGTAGTATATGGGAAGTATAGGTCCTTCATTCTTCGATGAAGTTGAATAATTATTGTCCATCATTTCAATTTCACGCTTTCGTCTTCAATCCGTTTCGCAGTAAACTCGATTTTTGGTTAAAAAAATCATTTGGTATAGCTTGAACTCGTCATATTGCATTCTGTTTCGAATATCTCCTTGGTAGTATCATATCGATCGTCGTTTTTACAATTTATTGTGTTAGTCATATGATTCCCCAATTCCAAATTAATCTTTATTAGATTTTTAAAAGTTTCTAATAGTTCAATAATAAACATGCGTTTCTTCTTATTTAGAACTCATCAACTACATGTGCCTGTATCCCAATGTCGATGTTCGCGTCGAAACTTCCGCATTAATTATACTTGAGTTACTTATACCCTACTATTTACTACATTAAGATATCCTCTACGTACATGCAATTCGAAGTGGTTGCAAACACACTGCCTCCAGGGAGGATCGAACTCCCGACCCCTGGTTTACTAGACCAGTGCTCTATCCACTGAGCTATGGCCCCCAAATGCCCTGGTACGGCCGAGAGTGGGGACAGTCCGCTCTCCATCTCGAAATGCTCTCACATGGCCCCGCGTATATAGCCTCTGCCAGGGAAGTCCTACTCACTGCCTAATCGTGGCGGGGGTGTTGTTTACGAAGTTGAGAGGACGAAAAGCGAATGTCCAGCGTTTTAACGGGGTTGGTGGATATGGAAGGTCTACCTAGGGAAATTGGAAAACCCTGATTCCAAACCAGTGGTGCACATGGGATGGTTCCAGTATCCTGAAGGAACAAATGGCGTATGAACCAATCGTTGGTTACCGGCTACCATGAGAATGCATTTCCTGACATTACTCCACTGTCTTGTGGATCAGACCTTCAGGTCGAAGGCTCCGGGTGTTGCCCCCTTAAGAAAAGCACCTATTTCGGTTTGGGCACCAGGGCAGTATCACAGTCCTCACACAAATCAAATGAGATCTATGTGGCACATATGTATTTGGTGCCTCCTTGTACCAATGTCTATGTGTTAAAATAAATAAACGTATATACAACACACCTGAGAAATCATGATTTATGTTTAATTAAACTATTTACCTCAGTGCTCCATTATACTGTGATACAATGTGATTATAACTCAGTAAATCCTTTTCTCCCAATTATAATGGTGATACGTTCCCGGTATTTCTGTAGCATGTATAATTACATCACTATCCGATTCATATGGATCTGATCATTTTAACCTCATTTTGTATTGTTTTGTCCTTTGCCAAGTCCCCGCCTCGTCACTGAGTTCCATTTATTTTGAATCTGTACAGAGTTCAACTATCAACTTTTCCAACCATTGACTATTTATCGTACCTATTTGTTTTTAAACTTGTAAAATGGGTTATTTAAATGTTTTTACCCTTATAGTCAGTCGATTTATCGATTTTTTAGTAGATTATAATTTATATCTGATTTTCTTTTAACTCATAGACCTGTTGGAATTAAACTTTCACTTGCCAGTCAACATGTTAAATCTGCGCACAGACTATTTTCTGATCGAGTTACATTTGTTTTGTGGTTAATGCGGTGTTTTGTTACAATTTCTGGCATTGCAGATGATATCCTTGAACAGGTTTACTCAGCACTTCGTAACGCAGCTCTAATCGATCCTACGGAAATAAATACTGTTAGTTCTACTTCATTGAATACATCTCATACTGAAGATTCCACTAGTGATACATCTTTATCAACTAAGAGAGAAAACGTATGGAGTGACGCTGATGAAGTAGAAGCTATATCGTGTGTAGAAATGCTCACTACTGGACGGTCATTACTCTACGAAGCATTCCGGTTGATTAAGGATTACAGAATCAGGAAAATGGTTAGTATAATTATATATTACAAATTATGGAATATACTTAATTTACTGGTATGCATTCATGTTAGTATTTCTCGAATCAGTTTCGATGTGCGGTATAAAAGTAATGAGCTTTTCCAAATTATGGCACAAAGCTGGTCAACTTTTTGTGAGGTATTCTCAAAACATTTGATCTAAGGCAAGAGAGAAAGTGAGTGGATCTGCACCATTTCGATTCATTCTGAGCTATGTCACCAAAACTCCCTAGCCATTGGTTACAGTAATCACGCAGACCTAAATCAGGCACTTTACATCTATTAATATGACTGTCCAATTACCAATAACTTCAAAGATTGGTGTTATATGTTGGTTTTTCCAACCCTAACATTCTTCAAACCTGCTTGTGCACCAGCAAATATTACACATCATGGTATTTATTTATTCACATAAATACTAGTATAAATAGGTACCTAAATAAACACGCGCCTCACAAACAACTGAATGAAATTGTTAAGATATAAAGGGAGGAGGGTTAACAACCAAAAATAATTAAACGAATGGTAATAAGTGAACAAGATCAGTATATAATGGCTCTTCGGTCCTTACACAAACTTTGGATAATTTTCTTACGCGAAGATCTACGTTTATTGCCGAACTCGCGGTTGGCCAGAGAAGACTGATATATATTGACTAACTGTGAGAAACCTGGGCTTATAAACATGACCTTTTGCGAAGTAGCAAGCGACTTTACTCGACATTTTCATGGGACCATGCAAATTCAGCCAGTGCTTGTCCATAATTTTGGGTGGGTTGTTAGCTAGGTCTGAACCTAGCTCGATTTAAAGTTTGGTTCCAAACGCAGTTGCATCCAATGCGCTTAAATTAATCCTTTTAGGAAGACCAGTTTGCTGACTAATGAAATGTAAAATAAGGTTAGTGTGAACGAGGGCATGATCAGAGTTCAGACACGTACTTCGATAGTCTTGTACACAACCACGCCAGCGGTAGCTGATCTCATTGTGATCAATCTAAGTCCACAGTGAGATGGAGATCGAGAGTGTCATGTAGCAGATCGATGATGAGTGTGTTAATAATTAGTGATAGCCAGAAACTGGTTGTAATCTGTGTGAGTTGTGGGAGACAGTCGTTATTTAACCTGCGACTAGCAAGTCCTTAATGACCACCTAGACGCCCAATCTGCGCATCCGAATTTCCGGCTGGCACTAAAATATTTGCGAAACGTGCTTTCTTGAGAAGATTTCCCAATTTTTGATAAAACTCATCATTGATTGCATCGGGGTTGCATTCTGTTTAGGGAACAGGCAAATATAACGAATAGATATCGTTTTCCAAACCGATGTTTTCTGACTTTGATGGAGCTTTGTAATCAAATTGGACATAAGCTACTGTTAATGGGGATTCAATTGATCAGTGCTATCTCAGCTCTAGCTCTTAGTACGATATTAAAGCCGGCCAAATCGGACGAAGATGCCATAGTGTCTTCGGATTAACGCTCGCGAAATAACCTTTTATGATTGACAGATGATGAGCGAATCTGTTTTACCTTATTTGTATTAGAAATCGGTCTCGAATTTACTGCAGACGTCTATATTAACTCTAACAAAGACAGATTTTATATTCACAATATTTCGTTAAGTAATACCGTAATACCTTTTTTGAAAACCCGTCCACCTGGTATTTCTGCGAAACTTTAAATATACGAAGTCCTTTAAGTAATATCGTTTTTCTTAATTTCCGTTCTAGTGGCACTTGTGTGATTTTCGTTCCAATTTATTCGAAAAACATATTGGCGCTATTCTACGTTTATTTGAATCTTTTCCATTATCCACACATGAGCAAGCGAAATTGTCCGATCCAGTCAATTTCGTTTCATTAAACGAAGATGTTTATGGTTTAAACAAGCCATCGGACATAGAATACGCAACAAAAAGTATCCCTGACGAGGAGACTTATGTGTCTGGCCAACAAAATCCTTCAAGTTAGTGTTACTCCAATATGTTGTCTCTTATTTTTACTGTTTTCTCATTCTAGACCTTTTAATAACGTATGTTGTAATCTACAGTTCAGCGCAAATACTACGTACCTCGTTAAATATTGAGTATGGGAATTAGATAGACTAATAGAAGACATTTGCGTAGGAAGTTGCATTCCCGAAGGTTTAATAACAGTGCTCACAGTTTATAGTTATTCTAGGATGGTTGAACTTCCTCTAAAATTCATTTGAGCTCTGATCGTCATTAATAGTGGAATATAAGAAACGCGTTTCATCCTACTTAGGACTCATTATCTATATGTACTTGCATTATAGTTTTGATTTCCACACAGAAGCTCAAACCCAGTACTTTTCGTTTCAAACCTCAAAACATTATTCGCTGAGTGTAATTTACTTGAATAGAGTCTCAATATGAATGTTATTACTGGAATGTAGGTACATCTGGTTGACTAATCCCAAATATGACGAAATGTGTGTCTTATCCACAATACATCTGTTACATAAAACTTCTTTTAAGATTGTCCACCTCATAGTTTCTCTTGTGATGAGGTAAATTTAAAATTACCCACATCTGTTTCGTTTTTTTCAGATAATTGCACACCCAGTGCTATTGAAGTACTAAATAGAAATGAAACAATTCATTTCTTGCTACGTTCCAACAGAAGAGGATTGAAAATTGAAGGCCTACGGAGTAATTATACCATAGCGATAAGGTCAGTAATACCTCTCATATTTTTTCAACTTAGCATACGATATGTGTATATCTGTATCAGTGTAGGATTTATTTCTATTTTGAATTTGTCTACACGTCAGTACAGTACTATTGCACTAGTTTATTTAAATTTATAAAATATTAGTTAATGGTAACTAAAAATTGAAATACGGTAAACTGCTTTTCATGATTAACTGTTACATCCCACAAAGTGACTTTCTATGAATGATTTCCTCATGAATCACAGGAGATAATATATGCTATGTTCTCCGACTCCATTCAGTTTGTGTGGGAATTTAAACAAACCTACATATATATCAGGTTCTACTTTGCTCATGACTGACCAACAGTCAATCCACGCTTTTTAATCCATTTCTAACTACCAATGCAGAGTAAGATGACTTGTAATGTACAGGAAGTTTTAATGCCGTATCTGAATGACTGTATGCATATAAGTCATCCATACAGCGATATATGCGTGGTGGTTTTGGGTAAATGAAATATATACTAATCGTTCACCTGCTTACGTATACATTCGTCACATACTAAATTATCTTGGAACATGATTATCGGTCCTTATTTAGCTGGTTTATCCCCCCATTTTGATAATTAATTCTTTTTTAGTTTCAGCCCCATGAGTCTGAGTGGCTGGTGATTTACCGTAGATTTTCTTAAAGACTAACTACCGCATCCGATATTTGGGTCCCCTCAATCTGAATGATATGTATTCACGATACCCTTCACGGGCAAATTAAATATAAATAGTACTTGAGATGGCAAAGTCTCTCTGCCCCATATTTGGTTTACATGTCGGAATATTCACTTTCCTTGCACATTTACTTCGTAAATGACAACATAGAACCGTCTTGTAATGATACCTGATAGTCAAACAGTATCCATTTGTAAAATGTTTCTTCTATCACAACCTGGTAACTACAGAATATCGATATGTTATCTCAGACCTTCGGTTACTAGTAATGTTTTATTATTTGTGGATATATGGGGTCATTTATTATTATTAATTACTACTCACTTCAGTTAAATTAGGACAAACACAAATCCGTATCCTATTTCTAAATTTTTTGTGTGTTTCATTCTGTCATCTAGTGAATATTATTAAATTGTTATCTATTTAATTACAAATTTAGTACTGAGGTAATTATAAAATTGGCCAAATTTCTACATAATCTGCAAAAAGATATTCTAGAGCAATTGACTGATTTAAATAATGAAATTATGGCATGGCTTCATGAATGCGCTGCACAATGTATCCAAAAATCAGATTTGAATGATCTTCTAGTGATAACAAGTAATACTGATATTGCTGATGATCATCGACCTACAATAGATAAATCTGACTCTGATAAATGTACCATTGAACCTGAGTTTATTAACAATGACTATGCCAATAACCTGGAAGAAAATATGAAGTTAACATGCAAATTGAAGGCGATTTCTTCCTCGGATGTTACAACCTTACCCAGTGAAGCAGTAAGTCACCCTTTTTTTGCAAATTAAGCTATTATCTCTAAAAGCCAGATGCATTACGCTACCATCGAAAATCCTCATATATAATTTGAATTTTCCGTTCCTTAGAATTAAGTTGTTTTTCATGATTTGCATAACTTACCACTGCAAACTAGAAAACATCAATCAGTTGTTTCGTTCTCCGACCCCATCTGCGACTGATCTCAGGTCCTTAAGGCCTCGTGACTGGAGGTTTGTTTTCAGACCACTGAGCCGGAGTCCAATGGTTTACAATTCTCAATTCACTACATTGTGTGTTACCCAATATACTTTCTTGTCCACTCTTATGTATTCGCTCAAGTAGTCAGTTGAAGTGTTAGCGCGTGGCACGTTGTGTATCATTATCAGATTTCGGACGTCGATCATTATAACACCATCTCCAAGGTGGTTTGCTCTCTATCTCAGTAGGTTATAGCTAGTGTCTATCACAGATAACTGTTTATAAATACCTATACTTTTTTGATGATGGTTGTGGTAATTTACCAAATGTCAGCTACGTACAATAGAACTGTTTTGACGTTTACATTGAAAATCTTGACTGATTGTTTTTTTGAGTCCAAAATATTCCTCCATTGTCAATCTGTAAATTCTCATATGCACCAGATTCCCTTTGTTAATCACTGATGTTTATCACTGAATATATTTTTCATTTTTGTCCTGAAATATTTTCCTTGGTTTAATTTCCGTTTGATTTTCAGAGCAATGTTTTCTCAATGTGTTCTACTGTATTTTGAGCTTAGATTTTGTTATACCTTATAATATCAGATTGTTTGTGCCCAAATCAGTAACCCTGGGACTTTGATTACCAATATCAGATTCATTTTTTGTAGAAGTTGTCCAGTTCCGTGATTTACTTCACGAACTGAATTTAGTTAAACAACCATTTTAAACCGGAAACCACTGGACAGCTGTTTCGTTCTAATATGTTACTTCCCAGTGGTGAATGTCTACTACCTCACTAGTGAACGAACCAGGGGCATAAAGGCCTTTCATTTTCTATGTTAAAATATGACAATGTGTTTACTGTTTACTAACATCCAGAAGCAATTCTTGAAATCCTATTTCGAAGCGTAATATATCCAATTGAATAAAGTTGAGGATGTTAAACATTGGATTGAATCTCAGTGGTCTCATGATTGAGCGTTCACCACGATGCCTAAAGGTCCCAGGTCCGGTCGTCTGTGTGATTTTGGCTGCTCGGTACTGAGGAGTCCTACATCTGGACTAAACGAGGTACCTAGTGCTTACTGGTTTTAAATCGTTGTCTAACTACAACAAGCTGTGTTGTAAAACTATAAATTTTCTTTTGTTATCGTTACTCTCCGTTCAATATTTTGCTCTCATCAACTGCACTCAGGTTGCAGAAGACTCGAAAACCGCAAATGTAGAAAAATTTATGTTGGCGAGTTTGTCTTCAAATATTGAAAATATATCAATTGAACCGTTGTCTGTCAATTTTTCAATGAAATGTATCCTTTCTGATTCAAGTGTAGAGTCACTTCCAGTCGAACAAAGAGGTAAGCACTGTGTCATTGTATTGCAGTTGATTAAATTTTAGTGGTTTATAAAAGTGAGCTTATAGTAAGGTGATATCACTTCTTTGGACTCTAAATTGACCCATTTAGCTTAGTTGGTAATAAGTAAACGTGTATACATTCCAATCAATACAGATTTTCTAAGCAATATACATGTTAAACATAAAGCCCCCAGCATAGAGGTACACCATTTAAAAACTGATAAGCACATGAATAGGTCAAATGAAGTATCTTTTGCTAAAAAATGAATGAAGCTTCACTATATGTATAGTGTATTTGTTTGCGAATTTATCAAGCTTGTTAATCACTTTCTAATCTTGAAATTTGTGAATTTTCGATGTAAAAAATCCATCCATCTGAGTTTGAATCAATTTCTTTTTGTGATCCTGTCATTACTTGTTTTTATTACAAAATATGCAATGAATTATTGTGACTTCATTCAGTCATAATCAACACAGAGCCAGATATAAATGTACATTGACTCAAGTTGCTGCAGCATATCAGCACAAGGAAATGAAATCAAGCATATACGTAATCGAAGAGCATATAATATTAAGAAAAATTGAAGATAAAGATTATGCGGCTTCGAAAATGGAAGATTTTGCAAATTAAGTAGAATGGTCCACCAGGGTCCTTGATATTTGTGTGGTTGCGGTACATGATTAATGTGTGTTATTCAGATTGTAACGAATGTAAATCTTGTTTAGTTCTTTTGAAAACCAGTGGAACACACTCTCTTGCAGCGTGTGTTTATGGTTATGGGCCCTGAGACGGTCGAGGTTGAGGAGAGTTCTGTCACTCTGTTAAAATTTTCTCGTAGGAATTCGCGTTTTCAACCTTTGCTAGGGAGGTCTTTCTCGTTGTCTTCAAGTGGGAGGATGTTGTTTACGAAAGTGAGAGATGCAGAATTTCCACCGAGGGGAGTTAGAAAACCGTAGTTCCAAACATGTAGTGTACTAGAGCTTCAAGATCTTGAGGGAATGAGTGGCGTGTGAACCTTGTTTTAATCACCTGCTACCATGAGACGAGAGCTCGTGACGTTGCCGCATTGTCTTGTGGATTAGACCTCTACGTCAAAAGCTTAATCAGTGACCCTAACAAAATCTCATTGGTACAAGATTTCATGTAGATTAAATGAAATAAAATGTACAATATTCAGGCCCATCCAACGACACTCCACTCCAGCCTGTTTATCAATTCAATATAATTAGCGGCAATATAACAGGAACTTGTTGCAACATTGTGTATGATTGATTTTTTGCGATTTCTTTTCTTTTTCTGATTATCGCTCAGTTATTTCCACAATAATATTAATATTTCAATGTCCTTGCCATATCTCCTCTTTATGCTAAATTTGGCGTGACAACTTTGTCCGACTCACATTTGAGTTGGATCCTACGTTATATTGTCTAATTCCAACAACATACACATCTATTCTCATGATTTTGTATTGAAATAAATAGGTAATATTATTATGAAAATGCCGAATGCTAATATTTTTCTTGATTTTAATTTATAATCTTATACACTACGTATCTTTGTGATTTTTCATTCGTGGAAAAAATTAAAATGTGTACTAGTAAATAGCGTATGCCTCATAAAATCTCTAAAAGAAAACGTGTAGATGATAACAATATCAAAAATTGTGTTTTTTAACCAATACTCTGATAACATGTATTGACAAGCAAGAGCCTTAGAATTGGTTGACTTATAAAATTAAAATGACCCAGAAAACTACTTAAACATATGTAATTATGTTTTATATTTATAAACATAGCTGAATGGTATTCAATTATTTCATCAAACTGTGCAAACTAATGCTCTTTTGAGGTTTTGGGTAATGTTGAATAGGTAAAACCATTCGAAGTCATATATTCACACTACTATTTTATTCATCATGATCTTTGTTTCTTATTAATTAATGAACACTGAATATTGCTTTTGTTTTAAATGTGACTGGCAGTTGCATTTTATACTCATATATTAGGCTTTTATATGCTTCTCTTACTTTTAGTTAAAAAGTCATAAACACAGTAGAAGTTGCTTTTTTACTGTTCTCATTAATATAGACTCAATCGTAACGTTTCAAACTGTGAAGTTTGGTGATACGTATCCAAATCCCATGGTGAGCATCAGTTCTCTCAAGATTAGTCAGTCAGTCAGGTCTCACCTTGTTGACAATTGCCAACTAGCATGAACGTCCAGTGTTTCCTGTCGACTACTTCCGACCACTTACCGTCTCTACATGGTGTATGTGATGTTGAGGTATTTAGACTAATGACGACACTGCAACTTCAAGAGACTTCGGTTACCACTAAGGAGATTAGACAAACATGACACTAGTTACCACTCATCGATCAGTCATTTGTGCTCGTGAATATATATTATATAAATTGACAGATTTTCGTAAATTCTCATTATATCTCCATTGTGTTGCTCTGGTGTCATCATATCTTAACACTGTTGAGCTATTTTTTTTATCACTTTATACAAATTCTTTCATTTTTCAAATTATTCGTTTAAAATAGGCCAATTCATTTTGGAACCCACTGCCCCTTCTTATCATCGATTTTATAAATCAAGCCAGAAAACGCTACCGAAAGCATTCCATAAAGCTTTACGACGTGATGTGAGTTATTACTTTTTTTAATGCCTTAAGCTGATTTTTTCATATTTCAAATTTGATGATAAATGGTTATCAGTTTCTTTTTTGCATCGTTAAAAAATTTTATAACAGCTGTTAATCGTTTGTGAATAATTTGTGTAAAAACCTCAAAAAACTAAAACCTTTACATTTCAATTAACACAATTTCCTAACTTCCTTCATATTTTGTATGTTACACGGACTATCAATAGTAAATTCACGAATATCGTTCCTTTATTCGCTTGATGATCGACAGGTCATGTAAATCCACAGATTTCTCAAAATTCCTTAGTAAGTACATAATAAATTCAAATGAATGGTCTGTAGCCCCTCTTTAATAATCATAACTTAAGTAATTGTGTAATTAAAAGTAGCTGACCATGCAACACCACAAATAATAAATGTTCATTAGTTACTAATTAGGACTATATTTTGGTAGAATGTGTGTTATTTGCTCTGGATAGTTTATTTGCCAAAGTTTTATTATCATTTTGGGCATCTTTAGAGCTTATTCCATTTATAAATTTCCAGGACATTGATTAGAAACTTCGTAACTACATCACGTAGCTCAAAGAACACAACCACCACCGAAAGGTGGATACACCTGAACTGGAAATCGTCTTTATTTTAATCGACTTTATTTTGTGATCAGTAAATCGATTTAATAACACTTAGTTAGTCGAAAGAAAGCATACAATTAAAATTAGTATTTAGTGAGAAATAAATGCAAAGTAAAAACTACCCAAGTATCTTATTACTCTTTTTAGTCCACCACTTTCCATCATTCTTTAATAAATTGTAATTGCGACTCGTCCACATTTCCGTCTTAAAGTTGTATTTCACAATATTGTGTGTATTTACTTTTCTTAGTACTGTCATTAATGTTTACTCCGTTGTTTATACTAACATGAATATGATATTAGTTGTAGTGGAAAAAATCTCTAATCACTATCAGACTTGGAGAAATTAATCCTTATTTATGAAGATGATATTTGACATAACCACACCGCATAGAATCTAGATAATTCCAACGTTTCGTCCAGCAAACTTGTCTGAATGTCTCCAGTGTAGTAATCAAAATTAAAATTATCAAAGAATATATAACATTTAACAACCAAATCTACACTAAATACTTATTCAATCATATTCAGATAGATGTCGACTTTAGTTAGTAGGAAATTAATTTGAGTCAGTAAGATGTGAATCACGTGAAAGGTGCACAATGTGAAAATAAATGAATGAGTGATTGTGTGTGTGTATGTGTAAGTTAATAATAGTTGTCATTTGGTGAATGACTATTAACCATTTGTTTATTCAACGGTAAAAATAAAAGTGCAAATTGAAAATATCTTCAAATACATAGTTATGATGTTAAAATATTCGAATTAATTTCTGTCAGAAAAAAGGCTGTACAGAGTGGATAGAGAAAAGGTTCAAATTACTTGTTGATGATCATTTGCTAGGAGGAGGCTAGTTGAATGCTATTTCTTCTGTTCAGGCTGTTCTGATTGGTCCTTATATATAGTGCTTCTGTTATTAATCCTTCTTGATGCATACCAAACTCATTCTGAAGTATTTTGGTCCCTTCAAAGTTGATCTTGTGTCCTGTTTCTAACGCATCTGACGTTATTTTACATTTCCTCTGATATTTGAAGATATTTTCAATTTGCACTTTTATTTTTACCGTTGAATAAACAAATGATTAATAGTCATTCACCAAATGACAACTATTATTAACTCACACATACACACACACAATCACTCATTCATTTATTTTCACATTGTGCACCTTTCACGTGATTCACATCTTACTGACTCAAATTAATTTCCTACTAACTAAAGTCGACATCTATCTGAATATGATTGAATAAGTATTTAGTGTAGATTTGATTGTTAAATGTTATATATTCTTTGATAATTTTGATTATTACACTGAAGACATTCAGACAAGTTTGCTGGACGAAACGTTGGAATTATCTAAATTCTATGCAATGTGGTTATGTCAAATATCATCTTCACAAATAATGTGATGTTTGCTTTTCACTATTTCAAGAACTACTAATATATTACTGATATGTTGTTTCTTTTTTCGCTTACTCATCAGTAAATAAATTATTATGGATCTAAGCACACTTTAAAATGAATGTTCAGGTATATGAATTTATATGTAACAGATTTTACTTATCAACATGATAGTTTAGAATATACAAATGATATAGTTTTTTGGTAAGTTTATGTCATCAACTGTCTATATTCATGTTATAACGAATTCATAATTTTAAACGTAGTAAAAATCAAATGTTTAGTTTACAAAATAGCACATGATTGATTCTAGCTCCTTATGAATAGTAAAGTACACATATTCTTCCGGTAATATCACAGCTTTTGGTTAAACAAGGATTTGTAATGTTTTAGAATCGTTCGTTTAATATCTTTCAAAAGGAATTCAGACCAACAAAAATTTAGATTGCATAGTTATTACTATTATTACATTTTTGTTGTTCATCCACTGACGTACATCAGAAGCAGAGTGATGAATACATGTAAAACAGTACCTTATTTATTAACATCATAATTCATTTTTAAACGTCGACTGAACAATTCAAACTTCTATTTACTGTGGTGGTCTTTAAAACCCATGATGACTATTTATTTATGACTATTTCATTCAATCATTTTAACTATTCGAAGTACAGACAAATAAATATATCTAAAGGTTAATATATATCGTTTTACTCTAGTTGAAAGTGATATTGATAAATGGAAATAAGAAGAACTATATTATTACGTCATATAAACCAATTCAGGTTATGAAATAGATGGTTTAATTGATATTTTGTTCATTAAAGTAATATCTTTATAAAAATATCGATAAGGAAATTTTTAAAAATAAAGTCTCGGCCACAGTGATACAGATTAAATTAATGTCAGTCAGTGGTAATGGATCTAAAATTTGTGTACTAGACAGAAAAGAGGCAAATTAAGTTATTCCTCTGTTTTTGCTTTTATTTTAACTTGAAACATAATCCAAATTTTGAGTTTGTGGATTTACATGACCTGTTGATCATGAAACGAATAAAGGAACTATATTCGTGAATTTACTATTGATAGTCCGTGTAACACAGAATACGAAGGAAGCTACTCCACCATGGAAAACCTGGAAGCGTTAGACAGTGGATTGGTTGAGGTTAGAAATTAACACCGTTGGAAGCCGCCGGCTCAGCAGTCTATAGGTTAAGCGTTCGCTCGCGAGACGGGATCATGGGTGCGCACTGCGGAGAAGTCCCACAATAGGAAGAAACGGCCGTCCAGTGCTTCAAGGTTTTTCATGGTAGTGTAGCTTCAATTGACTCATGATCTCAGCTATTGAAATTCCATATATATCACGTAGTTTATTTCTTTTCTTTTTTTTCGATTCTGGCATATGTGTTAACTAGTCGATTGCTTAATATCATTAGTTAAGTATGTTGTGTCTCGTTTTTGGGTTTCAGCAAGGGCCTACAATACTTGCGGTATAGCAACGAATGATGAAGTTACTTTCTTACGATCGGTTCTCTTCGTAATCGATAATAGCAATTTACAAACAACATATCAACACCCCAAGAGAAGACGACTTATAATGGTAGTGCAAGGAAATTGGTACAACGTTTATGTATACAGTAACAAAAACATGATCTTCATCTATAGAGAAATTTAGCGAAGTAAAAGCACAAATAATCAGTCAGAGAAAGCGAAAGTTCTTGCGGAAGATTACATTAAAGAAAATACACTTGTGGTTATCGTTTCTGAAAAAAATTTCAGCATTTTTAACAAAATCTAAATATTATAGTGATCCTCTGAGCAAAAGTATAATCAGTTGTTAACAATACATAGATGTTCTGAGGTCTATTTAGCAGATTATTTCTCTTGTGTCCGGACTATAATCACTGAAAATATTATTGATATAATTACGATTTCAAATCGATTTAAACTGTTTCAAGTAGTGGAATCCAGGACTCATGTTTAATCCTATATTGGATTCGTTAGCTGTTTGTGTATGGATCTCATTGTTCACTCATTGACGCAATCCACTCAAGATGCATATATATTAGTAGAGACCAATCAGTTGTAATGCTTAATATTATTAACAACCAGGTAATATGAATCCTTACAAACTAGTCTAAGTTTAAGCAACGTAGGGTATTTCACACTCCATACGATAATAAAAAAATATAAGATTAGAAAATTTTCCAAACATTCGCTTTTCTGTACGTATAATTTGAAAATTAATTCTATCATTATAATTGTTTCTGATTGTCAACAGATCTCTCTTCTATCCACCATTCTTCCAAATGATATTATTGTTAAAGGATTCGAAGATCGGATAGATCTTTATTCAATAATGATTATTGGTGCATCTGGTACACCGTATGAACATTGTTTATTCTTTTTTGATGTTGGTTTGCCATCAAGTTATCCTACAACCCCACCGCAGGTAGATTATTGTTCTATTCCATGAATAATATTATTACCATATTGGCGATTAGAATTTATTTGCGTGATACGTTGGTGTTAAACTATAGATTTGTTCTGATTTCTAGATCTAGATCATCAAGTACAGGTTTATGTGTTGTGCTTTAAACCACACTGTTTATAAGAGACGTAGTGATATCATTCAGTCACCAATACCAAACTATAATTAGTATATCACAAGCTGACCTATCTTGTCCATCCATCGATATTTGACAGGTTAATTCGTGATATCAATATCATTTAATAATCTTCACAATTCTGTATACTGAGAGTCGAAGTAGTTGTAACAGCTTTTGGACGTGCAACCTACTGATTTAGGTAGTTCGCCACTGTCCTGCGGTTTAAATTCATAATTTTTCTCTAAGTGTTACTGATGTGCTACTCAGCCGCTGAAATTAAAACAGGTAAAGTGGCGGGCATCGAACCTAGCAACCTATTAGTGGACAAAACACAAATGCTTCAAAAAGTATTTATTTATGTTGGGAATCCCTCAAATTATTTGCTTTTTGTCTCTCTTTATAAATTGTAGTTCTAACGAACAGCACAATCTACGATAACTTTTTATTTCGCATTACCCTACTGGTTTTTACACTTATCTGATGGGTTACTTCTGATTTGTTTGTTATTTTCGTGACTTGTCTTAAAGTCATATTTGTTATCACATAAACAAAGCTGTTGTTTTACACTTTTGATTCCTTGAGATATTAAACTCTTCGGATCCTGTAAGCATGTTTATTTACACCGTATATTATGGATTATCTTTTGATATTGGCAGGTGAAACCAAAAATGGGAATCAGAATTTGTGAATTACTGAAATGTATGTTTATTATATTTTTTAAAAATTAATACCATGAATTGATCAATATCAGACCACCATTGCAAATTTGGACGAACTGGATAGCCATTTCATCCTAGTGTGAGGTCCCTCAACAGTTCAGATCCATGACTTCGCACTCGGGGACCAAACCCAAAACCCTTCGTCTAGCGCACCTATCTTCAACATCTAGACCACTGAGTTGGCATCCAGCGGTGTTTCGCTATATTCGAGTATACGTTGATGTTCAACTTTCGACCACTAAGTTACATTTACTAGTCCCGCTTCATTTACTTCGGTTTGAGCAGTTGGGTAGTATCATTGTCCCTCACTCATAAAGTCTCTCAAAAGTGGTACACGAATCTGTACTTAAATATTTATTTACAGCATAGTTGATTCATTCAACTTCAAACCATCTGCTACATTTTCGAATCCTCATGCTTCCACTTAGTTTGAACAGCCGTGTAAAAGTTTTGCTCCTCTACATAAACAGTTCCTTCAACGAAGTACATGGTCGTACGTATTCTTGGACTAAATAAATACATTAGTATTGAAATTCTGTACTTTTTCTAACATGGTATTCAGTTTTACCAAAAATAAAAATCTTACTATTGCGTTAACTGACAATATTTTTTTTAAATAAATCGAACTTAAGTCCCTTGGAATATGCAATTACAAGCTTTAAAATGGAGTGACACTTGTCTTTCTTTGGTTACTCAGTTATTGAACAATTTGTATATATATATATATATATATATATATATATATATATATATATATAGTTCAAGTTGTTTTACCATACACACTTTCAATGAAATAGCGATCAATGAAGAAGGGCATAAGGTTAGTGTGAAAATCGACATATACTGATTATTTTTAGTGATTATCGTCTTCATTTTGAACTCATTATTGCGATTGATTGGGAGAGATTCTCTTAATACAATATCGATTTTACATGAACTAGACGATAAATACACTAAAACACTTCAAAAACAATTGCGCCTGTGTGATACACTTGGGAAAAACCTTAATGTTTAAGGTGTCATGTTTAAAAGGGGAAGTCCTCTGTTTTTTTAGCAACAAGTGGATGATCTTTGAGACGCAATAACATATACAGGCAAAGGACGAAAACAACCGGTCAGATAACCTCGAAGTTCAGTGGTGAATCGAGAAAAGGAGAAAAGCTACTGTGGATTTCTTAACATGTTCAAATTAGCATTCAACAGCGAAAATTAGATAATTTGATGTATTTCTAGTACTTTTCTTAAGATTTAATATTTTATGTGAAAAGTTTTACGAAATAAGGTAATGAAATGTATTTAAAGCAATTAGTTCCTTTTATAAATTTCGATAGAACAATGAGAAGACGAAGTTGATCTGAAAAATGTGATGTATTTGCGCTATGCATCACATTTTTCAGATCAACTCCGTCTTCTCATTGTTCTATCGAAATAAAATATATAGAGAGATATTCATAGCAAGATTCATGATTCACTTTACCACCGATTGATAGTGTAGTCGGGTAAAATGTTTTTTTATAGGTTCATTTTTTCTCACTGTCATTGACTTAGTCTTTAATGTGTATACAGTAAGAGAGACTGGTTATTCGAAGTTCTATTCGAAAATCATGATCAGTAAAGCCAACCAATCTAATATTTATTAAACATTAACTTACGGATATACCTAATGTACTCTATGGTCAAGGAGTGAATTCAAAAGACTGGAATACCAAATCAAGATTCACTGGTTTAAATTCAATGTGCTCACCACGAGAGCTAAATCTTCTGCGTCCAGTCCTCATTGTGGTCGTGAATATACATTCTTGCAACGTCCTAAACAACAATTACGAAGTTGTTTTGGCACTCTACTGTTTTTCATTAGTTATTCCACCTTAAACACTACCATTGCCTTACTTTTTTGTGTAGTACTCCAAGATTTTTCTCAATAAATTTTCAATTAAAGGTACATTATTACAGTTTTGGCAATGAAAAAGTGAATCCGAATTTGTATGTTGATGGACATATTTGTCTGTCTTTACTGGGTACATGGAATGGTCAGGGCAGTGAGAATTGGAGTGCTGAAACGTCCAATTTATTACAACTAGCTATATCAATTCAGGGTGAGATTGATAAATATTTCTCATTATTAGATTAATTGTTTTATTACAGCTTTATACCATGCTTATTATGTGAGTGCTTTGGTAGTTTGCATTACAGACTGACTTAAACTAGGACAATATTAAAAACCAGAAAAGATTGCTAGGTGGCTATGTTTTCCTAATTTTTGACTGTCTAACATTGCGTACCCCGGATCACCAACTAATTTCTCGTCTAATGTTTTTTTCTTTAACATCTAGAAAGGATGAGATTAAGTTTTGAGCAATTCGTATGACTACTACTACTTTCGTTGTTTTGAGTAGTTTAGAATTCATCAAGAAAGTTTTCTGAGTGGTAATGGCATTTATCATCGAGTCAGCTGATTTAATACTTTAAGTATCTTGAGAGTGTGAAATAGTCAAAACGCAAATATCCCACTACTTTCTATCTCTAATTTATATTGTATTAATCCGAATTCGTATATTATGTATAATTCAGTCCACTGTTTATGGTAATACACAAAATTTGGTATAATATTGAGTTTCCTACCATCTTTTCTTTCCCTACAGGTTTGATTCTTAATTCAGAACCGTATTTTAATGAAGCTGGTTATGAAGAGCGACGTACGGATCCAATCTATCAAGAACAAAGTCGTATTTATAATGAGGCTGTGATAGCATTAAATCTGCAATCAATGATAAGTATTGTACAAAATCCTTTCCCTATTTTCCGTAAAGAAATTATCAAACATTGTGTTGATAAATGTAAAAGGTAAGTAATTTGTATGTAAAATCTAGATCAAATTTTAAGTAGTTTATTTCCTATTACGACAAAAGTGGTCTATACTTTAACGCTAATTTGTCCGCATTTCAGCCTCCTATCTCACTAACACGTCAGAACACATGAACTGCAAGCAGATAAAACTTCTATTCCACTTATAGCATAGATTAAATACCCAAAACCATCGTAACATAGATAGGAAAAAACGGCATTTTTATGGCTATGTATGCGAAGGAAATATTAGTAATGTTAGTCCCATAGTTAATTTGCAATATCTTTAAGAGTTCAAACATATGAAAACAGTTTATATGTCAACTGAAAGCTTACAATATGGGGAATATAAAAATATCCTAATTCAAATATTTAATAGTTATGTAGTAACAATGTAAATTACAATCCTTCACAAGATAGCACCGTAAGTTTTACTTTCAAAAATTTACTTCGTTATAACAATCATGTCACTATAGAATCAAACCATCGAGGAATAATTATGCAATTGTCTATGCTACGTTCTTATTACTTAGATAAAGTTCACTAACCACCCTTTTTTCGAACTCTTAAGTGTGTTATCCTTTTTATTATTATTAGTTATAAATTAGACATGTTGTCTCTGTTATTGGTTCATTGTTTTGTAAATATTCAATCAAAACTTATGATATAGTCATGTCTAAAATATTTATGTTTTTTGGTGGACAAAGCAAGTCAAATGTACCATGTTCCTTTTCGTCGATAGACTAATCACATAATTGCCCAACTACAATCCGAATCTTAAGTAATACTTTGATTCATTGGTTATTGTATTTTTTTTCCTGAATGTTTTCAAAATCTGTAGCTGAATAACTGTACAGTATTTTAGGACAGTCAACAGTGTAGTTGGAGCTAAACTTAAGACAAGGATTAAAACGGCAATAAGTTTCTAGTCACAAAGCTTATCGATGCTGTCTGCGAAAAAAATTCCTAAATATACAAAGTGGTTGAGATACTGACCTATAAACTTCTTATACGCCAGCTCCCAAACGGCTACCGAGTAAGAAGACTGACAGCGGTAAATAATATTTGTTGAGATTAACCGAATCAAATCAATAAGCACTTATATATATATATATATATATATATATATATATTCTTAAGAAACGAAACCATTTCGTGGCTAATAACATGCACTTGTTATTAGATTCTTGAACGACACAATGTGGCTTTTTCATTTGGCGACTTGTGGTTGGTCCACTGTATCAACTAATACCATGATTTTCCAGTTGTATGGATTTAGCTTCAATTGACTCATGATTTCAACCAGTGAAATTTCTAAAAAAATTCTCCACCAAACCCATTCTGATAATATCATTAATTGTTGGTCTGAACTATGTTAGTAGATAAAGACTACCTGGTTTGGGGTGGTTATGCTCGATAACCCAGGTCATTGATTGCAGCTATTGAGTGACATTGCGCAAAATAGATTGCAGTGTCCCAAATTTATTTACGTTTTGTTCTCTCCTTAATTTTGAGTTCCATTACTCCATCATGCATTTAATTCTGGCTTTTTGAACCATATTCTCAACATTCAGTCTGACTCATTAACATTGCTTCCTCATTATTTAAATACACTTGCTAATCACTGTATTTAATCTTGTTTTTCTAAAATGGTATGTCAAGTTGAACCAACGTTAACTATAACTGACTGATTGTATTGTACTTTTGATCTTGTTCTTTCGTGTTGTTGATCCACTGTCCCTGTGTTTAATATCAAGTTGTATACTTTATCTTCAAAAAGAGTGTTCATATTTTAAAACATTGAATTGCTTACTATGCCTATTTATTGACTTTCTTCATAGATATCTATCTTTATTAGAAAATTGGGCCTCACTGGATTCTGTAGAATATGAACGTATCAAAGCAATCGATCAGTCGTCAAGTTCATCTTCAACTGAAGAAAAGAAACTTCTTTTACCAGGATTTTCACTACCACCAGTGTCAAAAGGTTTCCAGTTATCGATTAGACGACATTCAATTGTATTATCAAATTTAATAAAATCCTACATAGATTTGAATTATACTACAAATACAGAATAGTGAATTTCGAACTAACTACATTCTATGCCTTGCTTACGTTTTCTTTGTAGCCAGGTAATATTTATGCTTTCGACTACTTTGTCCTCTCAGATTCTCTTTATTTAAATAATTTGGTTCTGTGTCACTATGTGTGTGCAAGCACTTAGTCATTTACACGAGATTTTGTTTTAAAATTTCTAACTTTCCTGGCGCTTCCTTCTTTGTGTTCATATCTTTACAAAAAACATATTTGTACCGTTGCATATATTATGTAATATAGATACTTGTTGGACGCTTTTTGTAAGAGAAGTATGAAACCCACGGGCGTTTTCCTAAGAAATATGCATTCTATCTGGTACGTCTTTCACGTTCAGTTTCACTTCCAAGTGTGTAATTGGTATGATTGTTATTTTTACTCCTTGCGTTTAGTTGTCACTTACTAAACTCTTTTGTTTTGGTCAGTGTTCCATTGCTTTTCTACTCTTTTCTGTTTCGTTACTCTACTCTTATTTACTATTATGCATTGTTTATTTTGAAAATACTCTATTCTAATACTACTTATTACAGTAACAACAAATTAATGTTCTTCTGCCCATTCGATGTTGTTTTGCAACTGTGTTTATGAGTACACTTGGTGTGTAGCGATTTATTGTATTCTGCCTTTATATATACATATATAAGAAAACCGTGTTTATGGTAACATTCCTTTTCAATTTGTGCGTATTGACTCTCACACTTTCCATACATATATATAATTGCCTGATAATTTTCCATTAAAACATTTCAACCATAAATTGTTAAACGTTTTGTACAAGAAATATGAAACCCACGGGCAGTTTCATAAACAATATGTATTCTTTCTGGGATAAAATAAGAATAAAATCATTTACCGTTCGCCTCCCCATGGCGCTGCTGGATAGTAGAGCGAACCTTGCTACATAACTTGGGAGGTCGGCAGAGATCGGACTAATCCACCGCTCTGCTGTAAACCGGAGCCATGGGGTTCCACTCTTGGGGCTAACAATCTCGTGGGCTTCCCCACGTGTTTGCTTATGTATATGAATTGCATGAGTTTCAGTTTGTGTGAATAATGTATATAGGTATATACAAAGGACACACACGTGGGTCGACTCGATAAACGTTAACTGAAAAGTGTCTGTCTTATTTCTCATAAGATAAACCACCTAATCCCTCAGGTGGAAGAGATAGTAAAAACATATGGTAGTAAGTACTGCGAAGAGATGGCCATCAAACCTCTGTGTAATAGGCCTTATGCCTATGTATATGTCATGAAGTACAGGGACGAAATTCTTTGTACCAGTGATGTGCAGATAATACGTGACAGTCAGTCGGGGCAAATACATTCGAATAGAACGGTCAGGATCTGATTTCATAGGTGGGTTTATATACCTATGTGTATGCTAAGTGACTCATGAATGAAAACTATACTTGCCCTT